TTTACTTATTTTAAATTTATTTAAAAACTTGTTTTATTAAACTTGTTTAAACAACTTGAATTTTTTAAAAACAATTTCATATCAAATGCAATGTTCTTGGTACATTATTTGTAGACAAAAAATATAATTGTTTTTACCTCTTTTAGTGTTTTAATTAATATTAATAAATGAATTTTTGTTCTTTTAATTTAAAATCGATTGAAATCAAAAGAATCTATTCTTGCGCTCGATTAACCGATTCTTAGAATCGAAAAATATAAAAAAATAATCGGAATCGAGAATCGATTCTTTGAACAATCTATCCATCACTACTCGACAACGACTGAACGATAGAGCGTAAGCGTACGTGTCAAGTTAGTTTGCAAAATTTTGCTATGAAATGCCGACCACTGCCTTATGGTTATGCCAGAGATAAAGAGATGTTTAACTCCTCTCTCACCGCAAGTGAGAGAGCAAGTGCCAAACGTTAAAACCTACTGAACTTTGACAGCTAATCGAGGTTAGCAGGTTTTGACGTTTATTAATTGGAAACGAGCTATGGCCAGATTGAAACCTTACCAAAAAAATATGTAAACATAGGGATTTGTTGCATTGTTCAAGGCCACTTATAAAAAATGTAAAACAATGAAATTTAAATACATTTGTGATATCTAAAGGTATTTGATGAAAGGTTTTGTAATTTGGAGCATCATAGTATTATTTTCAGTGGAAAATTATTAAAAACATTTAATGATTAAGAACTAACAACGTTAAATCCTTTTATTGGATTTTCAAAGGTCTTCTAATTTTGTTCGATCTGGCCATAATGGAAAACGTTATAAAAAACGCTTATTTGGGGGCGCTCTCACACTGGAATAAGTTGAACATCCTTTTATTCCTAGTTATGCCTTGTTCGTAAGCACTTGAGAGCTCGTTAGAGAGATCAATTCGCTTTTTGTACGCCATCCTGCTTGTTTTTGTTTTCCAAAGAACAAGGGGTATTGCCGGATAATTGCCAATATGGTCTTTGAATATTTGTTAGTACTAATGTGTTAATCAGGCAGGTTCTGGAATCCGAGTGAAAGTGAATATGAAAATAAACCTAAATCCGAGTGAATTTGGATTTGGTGTTCTGAAATCCGAACTTTTTGTTCATTTTAGAACTCGTTTTTCATTCACCGCAAAAATGAACTTAACAGCTGACAGCTGTCAATTTTCCCAAAATTAATTATAAATTTTTGAAGAAAAATCGCAAAATGAGTGCTTTAACAGCGTTTGCCACTATTTCTACGGAAATGGCGGATCATGCAGAAGCAGCTCTTAATAGAAGGATACTGCGAGACCATTCAAATCCATTTGATGTGACTGAGTTGGCGTGAGTACGTATATATTTGTATTTAGTCCAATTATAATCAAATATTCCATAGCTTTGTGTCCAACTACAGGGTCAACAAAGACGCTTTCCTTATGCTGCTAAACGTTGTGGACAATGACATAAAGCACACGCCTATTCCAGTGCAATTACACCTCGCGGTAACATTAAGATTCCTAGCAGAAGGTGGTTTCCAAAAGGCTGT